GTCTCATTACTTGGCCCATAGCATGTGTTATTACCTTGGGCCGAGCACATCCTGCTGCTCGGCCCAATCCCAATATTTTGGGCCCAAACAATAACATAAAATTAGGAATTAGAATCATTTTAAATATCATTCTATTAGTTAAAATATCATCGATGAGACGTGATATTTAACCTAAAATTTGCTAGTCGAAGAGGTCTAGTACTTTTTTTTGGTTTTTTGAATAAACGATATTATGTATACTAAGCGAGTGGCAGTTTGGGCTAAGTCTCACAATGAGCTAGTAATAATGTGGTTCAAATTCGCCTATGAAGAAAATCGAATCTAAAACCTCTCGCCTACAAGTGAAAATGAATATCACTATATCATACTAAGTGATAGTACCTTTTTACGATTAAAAATTACAATCTTTGGCCAAACTAAAGCGATGTTAAGTTCAATTTTGTCTGGATGTTGTATTCAACAACGCCCCGCCAAAGGGTGAGTTCATCAAAAAATAAAAAAAAAACCCCAAACTATTTGACTTCGACATCTACACTCTCTTAGTAATAAATTTTCACGGTATTGATCAATCTACAATACGAGAAATTTTTAGTTACATTTGATATACTTGATCGAATCTAAACCGAATCAAACAGGGTTATGCCTATTTGGACTTGGACTCATCTAGATGAACTCACCCTTTGACGGGGCGTTGTTGAATACAACATCCAGACAAATGCATTTTTAGTCTCATAACCATTTGGCCAAGGCTCATGAGAATAGCGGGGAATGTTTGGACCTAGATTTGTCATCCCTCATTCTAGTCGAAGGGGTGCACTTTCAAATCGGCCTGTTCGAGGTCGAACACCATGTTTGAGGTCGAACACCCTTAGCGCACTTCCTGTTCGAGGTCAAAACCCTGAAATTTTACTTTCTTGTAATAGGAGTATTTGAAACATAGTTATTTATCATTTCAATTTATCCACCCAGTTTGTTTGAGTTGATGCAATTCACCTTCCCATACATCACATCAACCACTAAATTAATTCCACTCCACTTTTACGAACAACGCCCATTCTAAAGTCCTTGCACCAAGGCACAAAGACACCTTGACCGAGACACATTTCTTCCTTTGTCCTCAATCCCATTAAAAAAAAGTCAAACCAAGTGCAACCAAAATTACCAACTTCCCTTACTCGATTAGCCTTAGACCGCGAGTTAGCACAAAAAAAAATCCTAAAAAATCATCGGTTTCCGATCGGGACCCATTTTGAGACCAACAATGCCACCTCTAACAACAGTCATATGCAAACATAGCCAAAACCCTCTACGTTTTTGACATGTATGTACATGATAGGATGATGCTATATGTTTGCTCAATTCTTTCACAATCCGAAATGCTTGTATTTTTTTTTTTTTATAATTTGGGTCTAAAATGGAACAGGTCCATCTGCCCCATTTAATTGTAGATATTGTCCATGCATGAATGATTTGGTAAAAGGTCGCGTCACTTTGAAACCACCTGGACGGTAATAGTCATATATGTATGTGCCCGCGCTTTATCCAAAGGAATCTTATTTGAGGTAAAAATGAGGGCGCGGCATTTGGGTTCTACTTCACATTAAATTTCAACGAACTAAATCATTCATTTTTTCATATTGCATTTTATAGATCATTCCTACAAAATATTAGCCAAATCGAAAATGTTTGAAAAATCTAATCAAGTTCAAAGAAATTGACGTAACACTATATTTTATGAAACATCAAAATTTCACCATGACAATCAAATGGAGTAAATGGTTTTAGATTGAATTGACTTTTTGTAAGGATGATCTATAAATAAAGACTTAAAAAATAAACGGTTTTAATCTATTGTGTCATGGGCTCTCAAGTGTCTACTGCTAAGGTTGTCATGCACCGATATTATCTCTACTTAACCATTTAAGCCCAATCCGTTAGGTGGAATCAAGCCCAATAGACCTTAGGTGTAAGGTTTTATCTTAAAAGACATCGGGGAAAATTAAAAGTGGAACACTTATATTTAAACCTTAGATGTTGCACTTCTCAAACGTTGGACTCTCTTTACATCCATTGTGGCTTAAATAAAGCTAACCTTTTACACAAACAAGATCCTTGAAGTTTGATGTACAATAATTCTCACAAGTAGTCCCTATTTTAAAACAAAAATGAAGATTCATTTGAACAAGGGCTCGGTATGTGTATATATATATATATATATATATATATATATATATATATGTATATATATATATTGCTTTTAAAAGTCAAGAGTTCTAGAATGCAATATATTGGAATATAATTAAAGAAATTGAAACCAACGATAGATGAATGAGGTCGGCAATGCTTCATAGTTCATATATACTTGGACAAATTCAGTCGTACAAGGATCGGCAAATACAAAGCATTGATTTACATGTTGATTTTGTTTAAGGATTTGCTAATTAATTAATATGGACCCGTTACCTCGACATGGGAGGGCTGAAAATTACATGTTTCTAGAACTTAAAACGTGTTGCTTTTCTTCCTCCTCTTTGCCCCTTCCATTGTACCAAGTTTTCCATTTAAAAGTAAGTAAATAAAAGTTAAAGACGACTATCAAGCTTTATTTCTCATCCGGTGCAATGTAACTAAGGATGCCGTATTTTGTTTTTTTTTTTTTTCTGGTTAAAAAAAAAACTTAGAGGGAGATTGGTTACTCTCTCCACTAGCAACAACAGGGCATACTCACAACCTCAAGTCGAAATGACCTACATGTGACATCCAAACTGCCAGCTACCACATTTATGGACTTACGTAGGAATTTACATATCGCACACTAACAAAAACTGCTGGCAGCGAGACTCGAACCTTAGTAAAACGGCACATAAAATAGGGACCTTACCAACTGAGCAAACCCAACAACTGAGTATGACATATTAGCATTCATAAAACTTGTATTTTCTCAAATAAATATTTGTCATTTTGCACAAACAATTAGTAATAGAGAGTATTTATTCTTTTGTTTGGTGTTTTACAAAACCAATTAACAGTACAATTAAGCCATGAAATTTCACATTTAGCCAAAAAGAAAAGTAAAACTACAAATTGGCTCGAGTAAAACAAGACATATATCTTGAGATCAAATTATTTTTTGAGATATGTAATTCAACGGTAAGGAAATATTTTTTTTTCTTTTCTTTTTTTGTTGTTGAAATTATTTTGTACCAGTAACTGGCGCCCGATGATCGTCATCTTAATTTTAACTTGTTGATCGTTTTATCAATTAAATTATTGCTTTTGTTTGGAGATTATTATGCTCTTCTTTTGTTGAAAATGCGAGCTAAAAGCAAAAGTCTAAATAAAACTAATCAATAATAATGCTTTATTACTCATTCTTAATGCGTGTGGAAGCCGTGGAATTGAATAATATTGATTCAGATGCCAATTCTTTGTTGCCACACTTTTGGTTTAGGGTTTTTTCAACTTTCTATGCTCTTTTTCGAGTAAATATTCTTCTTTTGTTCCATTCCACGAGTTTCAGGTGTAGGGGGTTTGAGTTGTCTAGCAAATTAAAAAAATACTAATAATCTTTTTATATAAAACCAGCATTTAATAGTGTAGTTTTCAATATACTAAAAATGCACTTTTCTAATTTTTCGAACAAAACGATATTACTTATATATAAAAAAGATACTGAAATTAATAGAGATAAAATTGTAAAATGACAGCATTTTGAATTAAAAGAAAATTATATAAAAATATTGCAAAAATAACAGAATTCTTTAAACTTAATATTTAGACCTACTCCAACTGTTGGAGTAAAACTCAAATTTTAGGTTTTAAATATACTCTAACTTGCTCCAACCTTTAGGCCAAATATGAGTTTTGATCAAAAACTCTTTTTGGGGCAAGAATTTTCCCTAAGTTAGTGGGCTGACCAACCATATATCTGTATTTTTTTAATTTTATATTTATAAATTCATTTAATCTAACTGCTAAGATTTATTATGATCAAATCCAAAAAAAAAAAAAAGATCTAAAGGTCCAAATTTAAATCAAATAGCTAAAATAATTTTAAAAAAAAATTCTTTCATGTGTTTCATATTCTTTTATAATGTTCCACGAGTTTCATGGTATTGATTTAGTGATTTTTCAATATTTATTTAAATATTTTTAGATTAAAATGTTTATAAAATTAAATTAGGATAGTGTATCTAATTTTTTTTAAGTTACTTTGAGAAATTATTTTCTTTAAATTCCTTCTTTAATGATCTGAGGTTAAAAATTCAACTCAAACAATTGTCCCAGAAAAAATACTTCTACAACAAAATCTAAATTTTTTAAGTTAAAAATTTTAAATTTTAACCCAAAAGTTATCCCTTGCGATGATCTAAAGAATGAGCCACTTGATTTTTTTTTTTTTGTTTTTTGTCTGCAAAGATAAAGAAAAACAAAGAAATGGCAGATGCCAAAGAGACAAAAGAACACCGCACCCAAACGGATGCCGACGCATTTCCTTCCTCCTGACCTGTACCCCAAAACAACCAATCACTAATTGCCACCTTCCATGCTGCTTCTCTCTCTCTGTCCCTGTCTCCCTCTCTCTCTCTCTCTCTCACATCCCCAATTCCCATTCCGATTCTCCTCGTTCCCTTTCCCATAAATCCCATCTGTTGTAAAAATTTAAAAAGGGGTAAGATATTACACATCCTATTTTATTTTTCATATATATTTTTAATTTTTAACTTTCGAATCAGATAAATTGAAGAAAATCAATAAATAAAAATTATTAAGAAGTATGTGAGAAGTAAAATAGAGTGTACGGATAAAAACTGTAATATTACTGCCTCAGGAGAAGTCTGTCCGAAATAAAAACATCCCCACATTCCAGCATCCCAACCCCGCACCTTCCTCAGGAAACTGAGATTAAACCCAAACCCAACTCCCACTCTCTCGCTTTCAATCACTTCTTTCCTCTTATATATATATTTTTTTGTTATTGTTTTATTTTTTTTATTTTTTTAAATCTCATCTCACCCTCCCACCCTCTCTATATCTCCTCCTCTCTGTCTGTCTCTCTCTCTCTCTCTCATCTCCATCTCTCTCAAGATAAACAAATACACTGAAATTGTCTCAAAAAACAGAGAGAAACCTGGGGATTTGAGGTAAAAGCTTCCCTCTTTAGGTAACATTCTTAAAATCTCTCTTTCCTTTCTTGCAAACCCATAAACCCCTTTTACCCATTTCTTCTTTTGTTACCTCACAATTGCAGGGTCTCAAAGAATATCAAAAGATGGCAACTTTATTAACTGATCTCCAGCTTCAAGCTCTCTTCATTGCAATTTGCCTATTGTCTTCCTCCTTCTGTCTCCAGGTTTTATAGATCACATCTAATTAGCTCGTGTTATCTCAAATTCTCAATATAATTAATTTTCTGGGAATCACTTTTTCTTACCTTTTCTGGGTTTTTCCCAAATGCCAAACAGATCGGAGAGACGTGCTCGAAAGACAGCGACTGCGACGCCGGTCTGAGCTGCCAAACCTGCGCTGCAAATGGCAACACCCGACCCAGATGCACCCGGATTCAACCCACCAGTCCCACATCAAAGGTAATCATTTTTTCCTTAATTAATTACGTAATTTAATATTGGTTTGGTTTGTGCAGATGGGTTTGGTTTTAATATTGTCAATTAATTTGCAAATGGTGATTAATTATAGGTGAAAGGTCTGCCATTCAATCGGTATTCATGGCTAACCACCCACAACTCATACGCTCAAGCTGGAGTTAGGTCCGCCACGGGTTCCTTAATTGTTGCTCCCATGAACCAGAACGACACCGTTGCCAACCAACTCAAAGTAAGTTTCTCTTCAAATAATCTCTACCCTGCATTTTTTTTTTTTTTTTACCCTTTTTCTATTTATTTTTGGACTTTTTTTTCTTTTTAGAGAATGCAATTTTGTTGTCACACTATATTTGTCTGAATTACGTATAAAAAATTAAAAAATTCACGCTGCTATAGCTAATTTGACAAACCCCGAGAAATTGTGTTCTTGGATGACAAGCTGCAAAGATGGCTTGTGTGTAATCAAACGGTAGTCAAATGATGGAAATGTTGACCACACAAATGTTTGATTTTCCACGTTTATCCTTTTTATATTCTCTTATTTCATGGTTTTGACAAAATCAATATATTTTTTATGACGTGGCAGTTTGTCACTCCATTGATGTCGTCAAGCTAGATGTGTCAAATGAATCGCGCTTGGGCCGACCCGCTTAATAAAACACTAAGCTCAGTTCGGCCCGCATACCTAGTCGATTAAGACCTAGGTTATGCTGCGTAGGGTCACTAAACGGGCCGACTTAGGCAAAATAAACTTTAGTTATTTTAAAATTTTACAAAAACTTATTTGAACATTTTATTAAGATAAATGCCGCTAATATTAAGTTTTACTAACATTAAAATGTATGTTTTAATTTTTGAAAGAAAAAAAAAATAAAAGAAATGCATGTTTTAATTGGAAAATAATGAATAAATAAGATTTTCTTTAATGGGCTGCGGCCGTGCTTGGCCCATGATGGGCGCAACTGGTCAAGGCCCAGTCGGCTCATTGGACAAAATCTTAGGCCCGGTCCGACCACTTCTTACAAATCGTGTCGTGTTGTGCCTTATTTAAATGGGCTTAGACCGTGACATGCCTTATATAAGTGGGTCGTGCCCGTTCCGTGATCGTGCCGGCTCGCCCGTCTGACACCTCTAGGTCAAGCTAGCTCATGTTGAACCCTTGGTGGTGTGTGTTGTGTTGTTTTGCATGCAGACTTTACAGTAAAGTATTTTAAACTAAGAGAATCCCACCTATATTTTGTAATTTTGCATATATGACAAATGTATTAAGTAAATACATATACAGTAGCCAAATCGTTAAAAATTTAATTCAGGGCATAAATAAAAATGTTTAAAAAAAAATGAAAAAGATATCAGGTTAAGCATGTGGGTGTCTGAGTGATTATTGAAGCGCATGCGTAGATGCCATTTTTTTTTCTCTTTTTGCTAAATTACATGTCCCTTTTAAAAATTAAGAAATGGAATCATTTGGGTATTTATGTTGATTAAAAGAGAAGCATCCACCTAATCCACCTGAAACACTTCACTTTCCATGTGATGTCATGAGAGACCACTACCTACCACATGTTTTGCTAGTTTACGAAATGCTAATATAAGTTGCACACGCGTGTAGGCTGATTCATACCCTTTTTACTCTCCGAGAAATGCTTAGATCAGTTGCACATGTTTAGGCTGATATGGCCGTTTCACCTTATAACTCTTGCTTTTCTTTGGTGCACCTGAATTATGCTAATAAAAATGAATTATTTATTTTGGAATTTGTTTTTCAGTTACTTTTACCATTTTGTGTTAAAAATTATAATTTGGTCGATTTAAACTTGTTTCAACTGCTATGCTAAAGACCGATATTTCCTATGTTTTATTTTGTCGATTGCTAGAATGGTGTCCGAGGGTTGATGCTGGATATGTATGACTTCAACAACGACGTCTGGTTATGTCACTCGTATGGTGGCAAATGTTACAACTTCACTGCATTTGTAAGTGCTTCAAATTATGCTTTTGCCAAATTGAATTGTTATTACAAGAAAAACATCGTGCTTAAATATTTAGAGTCCGTTTGGGATTTTGCTTGTGGAAAGGCTATAAGGTTTTCTAACAACCCAAAGCACTTCTTACTGCGTTTTATAGAAACAGATAGAAGTGCTTCTGGGTCTTAGAAGAGCTTCTAGAGGAGCAACTGTCAGATGCTTAATCAGAAAGATTTTAAATAAAAAATTTAGATGTTTCTAATGAAAGCACTTTTAGCATAAGCGCCTATGAGCTGAACTTTCCTGCAGAAACAATCCCAAATGAGCTTTTACTCGCTTTACTGTTATTTAAAGTTTTAAAGGTTGAAAACTGAAATGCCAATTTTCTCTGCAGCAACCTGCTATTAACGTGCTGAGAGATATTAAAACCTTTTTGGAATCCAACCCCTCAGAGATTGTCACCATTTTTATCGAAGATTATGTGGAATCTCCATCGGGCCTGACAAAGGTCTTTGAGGCAGCTGACCTCAAAAAATTTTGGTTCCCAGTTGCTCAGATGCCAAAGAACGGGAGTGATTGGCCAACTGTTGATGATATGGTCCAGAATAATCAGCGGTTGGTGGTCTTCACCTCTAAGAAAGCTAAGGAGGCTTCAGAGGGAATTGCTTATGAGTGGAACTATGTTGTCGAAAATCAATGTAAGTCCTATATTTTATTACTTTTCAAGGTGTCAAGCACTTCACCAGATTGTTTGTTCAATATTTGTTCCTAAAATTTTCCTCAACTTTGTTTTAATGCGCGTGTAAAGATTAATTCCTAGCTGAAGATTTTCCTCAATTTTGTTTCGTGTACTATATTCTCAGATGGAAATGGAGGGATGGTACCTGGTTCATGTCCGAGTCGTGCTGAATCATCTCCAATGGACACAACGTCTAAATCACTAGTTCTTGTGAACTATTTTCGCGATCTTCCAAATGCATCAGCATCTTGCATGGACAATTCAGCTCCCTTACTGAGCGAGTTGAAAACTTGCTATGAAGCAGCCGGGAAACGGTGGCCAAACTTCATTGCTGTTGATTATTATCAGGTATTGATTGAGACATTTCCACTGGAAACTCTTGGAAACAGTGTCAAGTATATAAAAGGACAGGGGTAGTGACACACTCCCGTTTTCTCCTTATGCACTCCTCTTTATCCCTAAGTTCTCCCGTGATTTATTCAATTAAAAGACGAGAAAAATGAAGGAGTGCGGGAGAGAAAATAAGAGTGCGAAAATTACTATCCAAAAAAAAGACATATTTGCATGCATTTGCCTAACCAATTCTGGTTTCTTTGCTGCAGAAAAGTGATGGTGGTGGTGCTCCAGAAGCAGTGGATGAAGCCAGTGGCCATCTGACATGTGGCTGTGACAGAATCACTTACTGCAAGGTTTGCAAAATTTACAATTAGACTTTATAACTTGTCAAACAAGGGCAATATGAAATTCATCTAAGTTTTCCAATCTATCTTGTATGAGCAGGTAAATGGTGGTAACGTTACATTTGGTTCATGCGACGTCCCAAAACTTGCTCCGCCGCCACCTGCTGCCGCCACCACCACATCCTCTCAACCAGGTTCCGGCAACTTTGCTTCTCGGGGCAAATCAGTCCGGTTGTTGTGGTTGTGTGGAACAATTTTGGCTACAACTCTCTCAATTCAGATATAATTTGTTCTCTACTTTTGCTTGCTACCTCCCTTGTAATTTTTAAACCACACGAGACATTTTTTTGGAGAAAAATTTGATTCCTCTATTATGAGACCATGTGCAACCCTCTTTTTTTTTTTTTTTTTAATTAAAGGGACCAACTACTTCACCGCGACAGTCCATCATTTCAAGAGCTAGAAAGACTCACAGAGGTATTTTAGCCTCCTCCTGGCCACTACTGTGTGATTTATCAGCGTCGAGAATCGAACCCAAGACATGTCATGTGAACTACGAGACTAATTTGGGTCACAAAATTTTACCGTTAGATATGCTCATATTTGATCATAGTTGTTCAATGGAGAGGGTAAAGGTTCAAAAGCTAAAAAATTGTCTGATTTGTTTAAAAACTCATCTCCAACTAGATATAATTCTATGGAACCCATCAAACTATTATTTACCAAAGAGCACCAAGCTGGCCAATGTAGCCCCCTCTTAGCATTTTTTGCAATGATTGGTTCAAATTCAATAGCTAGATTTGGAAACAATCAACAATAGTTTAATTAAATTAACTAATAAATTTAAAGTATAAACTTAAAACTAAAAAAATTATTGAATGCTATATTTAGCTCTTTCGGTATATATGAGTATGACCTGATATTATTCATTTAAAAATATATTTTTTTAAGAACTATAACCCAATTAAGACTATATTTAACATTTTCAGTTGGAAATATCTTTATGTGGCACGTCCGCATGCACCATGGGCCCGAGAGAGATAGGCCTGGCTTATCACTTAGGTGGAATATGACCCCTTTTTCCCATGAGTTAATTTTACCCATTTGTTGCAAAAGGCTTGGGTGGCGTTAAGCTTTAAATCATGGGTTGCACATAGTCCAAGGGATATACTGCCACTATTCTCGGTCAGACCATATCGAATCTCCTCCTCATATACAATGTTTCACGATAATTGAAATTATTTACTTTTTAATTTATCCTATAAAGATCAATTTTGCAAAAAAATCAACTCAATAAAAGCTTATGTTTGATTAACTTCGTCAAGTCTCAACGTGTAATTGAAGAACATGGTGTGTGTGTGTATGATATATATATATATATATATGTGTTGGAAACTTGTGTTATGTGGGACTGTCAGTTCCACATCGCCCAAACACCTTTCAGACTAAATCTTTATAAGTGAGTTCACTCACTTATAGTTTGAAATGAATTGTGCCAAAACCATAGACCTTGGACCTTAAACTTGAAGGGTTTGGGTGTATATAAATTATTCCATATAAATGGAGATTAATTGGCTAATTAATGGATTAATTCCTAATTAATCCATTAATCACCAATTAAATCACCCATTTTCACACAAAAAACCTTTAAGGGTCAGCCACCTCCATTTCCTATATATATATAACCCTATTTTCTCTAAAAAGCCGGTTCCACACTCTTACAAAACTTCCAAAAACTCTCCAAACACTTTTTTCTCTAAACTCTAACTTTGGCATTGAAGGTTCTTCGGCCAAAGCCCCCCCATTCATCGTGGGCGCGTGAGGCTCCTGGCCTTGACCCTAAGGTGTTAATTGTTTTGTAGGTGCAATTTTGTCCAAGAAGAAGAAGACGAAAATTTACATCCACAACGATGATCCACAACTGTTTGCTCGGAGGATGATGGTGGATGGGAAGAAAGTGACGATTTTCTCTGTTGATTTTGAGCCATAAGCCAATCCTTTTAATATTTCATGTACCAGACAAAGAGATGAAGATGCTAAAGAAGAAAGAGACAATGAATCTGCACCAACTACATTTTTAATTGAATTTTTTGATTTTTGACATTTTTAAATATGAATATTTCTTAATACTATAATATTTAATTAATGTTTTAATCTAGTTGGCAAAGAAGTGGGTCCCATGTTTACCACATCAGTATTTATAGAAAAATTAACGGATGATTGACATTGCAACGAATTGGCAAATTGAAGTATGATATTGCAATGTTTAAAAGATGAGGTATGAAATTGTAGTGCAACTCATAGTTAAGGTAATTTTATGTAATTTACTCTTAAAATTAAATTCCAATTGCCTAGAAGTGTGGCACGCATATAGTTAAGCTACTACGCACACATTTTCTTTTCAAAATTAAGGACATACCACTTTCTTACAATCACTGTCGATCACAACATCAAGGAGGCTGAGTCTTTTTCCCAACTTAACTTTCACCAAGACAGCTTCCGCCTCCACCTGCTCAAGAGTTGTACGAGATCAGTGAAAAAATTCATCTTCAAGTAAAGACCCTCGATAGTGGCATGTGGTCCAATATCCAAGTGGATAGGATGTTGGGTTTTTCTTCATACGTCCCGAGTTCGAAACTCGCCCTCCTTAAATTATTATAGGGAAATTTTATTTAAATCCATTTACTTCTCTTTACATCAAATTTACTCTTTACACCCATATTATTTTTAAGGGTCTTTATCACAAGTAATCCTTGAAATTGACACATACCATCAAGATGGTCTCTGAAAATGAAAATCAATCAATGTAGTTCCTGAATATGAGTGTTGCAAATCAATGTAGTCCTTTCATTAGAATTCCGTTAAAATTTTTGTTAATATGTTTATGTGGCACATAGGTGGACCCACAAGCCTATTAAATATAACCACATGGATAAATTATTGAAAACTTTATAAAAGTCTAATCTAAAAACATTTAAAACTAGATTCAAAATGATTAAATAGAAAAATCAAAAGTTGTTCAACAAAATAAGAAGCGCAGGTCCTGAGAACAATGATGCCAGGGGTGGGGTGCAGGTGGGAAGATGGTGGCTGGGGTGGGAGAGATGGCAGGGGAATTGGCAAATTAAGAAGCCTAGGTTCTGATTATTATCATTGTCGTAATACACATTTCACATGCACCGGACGCATCCGTTGCTGCAACTATCATCCAACTCCTGCTTCTCGAGCCGTGGAGCCCCTAATTTTGCTTCTTCTTATTATGGCTTCGATGCTTTTATTGGCTAATGAGCAACTGGAGTTTTGGTTGTTGGTGTCGCATATCATATGCGGTCGGCAACAGAGTTACTCTGGATGGTGGTGCGAGCGGAGAAGGGTAGTCGTGGTGTTTGAAGAAGACGAGAATTGTTGTTTGGCGACGTGGTTCGAAGAAGAAGAAGAAGCCGAGAAGGTGTCTTCTTTTTGTTGAACAACTTTTAGTTTTTTTTTGTATAGGTTTTACTGATTTATCTATGTGGGATCACATACGTGCCACATAAGCATACTAACAGAAATTTTAACGGAAAAACTACATTAATTCATGACACCCATATTCAGGCACTACATTGATTGATTTTCATTTTCAGGAACCATCTTGATGATATGGGTCAATTTTAGGGACTACTTGTAATAAAAACCCTAATATCTCTTTTAACCCAAATTTATTATCTAAACTACCCTCACAAACTCAATTCAATATGTAAATTTATCTTTTACACCCATATGAAAAATTAAAAACCAAAAAATCAAAGCAATCTCTTCTATGCGTTCTCTTCTTCCAACAATTGCTTTTAGTAGAGTCTCCATCATCCTTTACAGCCTTGCTCTCTCAACTTAGTTTGTATTTGTCGAGACTTGATAGTATTAGTCAATTTTCTCATTAGATTTGTTGAAGGGAGTCCTTGAATTGCTGCTTAATCATTCGTTTCACTACAAGAGCCAATTTCTAATATAATTGCAGCACAATGCATGTTCTTATTTGACATATCCTGGGTAGAATTTAAAGACTTAAGTTGTTAAAGATGTTTTTGAAATTAGGCTCACGTGCATCATATGTGTTGCATACAAGTTTATGTTCCCATATTTACAATTTGAGCTTGTATTAAACTTTATTAAGATTTTTATTTGTTTCTTCCCCCAAATATGTCCACCTTTTAAGGGGTTGAATATGATGGGTCTGCATGCACGCCACACCCCTCCACTCTTCCTTTGTACAAAAAAGGAAGAGAAAACTCCTTCCTTTATCCCGTCCACTCCATGGGTTTCCATTTCAGCGACTTAGTATAGATTGTTGATAGTTCAAAATTACTCTCTATCCATACAAAAGGGTTTGTTTTTCACTATGAGAGTGTCTTATGATTTTTGTTATAATAGAACGTAAAAGAATGATATGTGATGGTGATGGTTAGGTCTGATTATTGGGTGTGTGTTTATAATCTTATTTGTATTATTAGTTTCATTTTGTACTTTATAGTAAGTATGCAATAAAGTAATAAAGTAATTTTACGTTAATAGTTTAAGTTGGGTGTAGAGAGAAGTTACATGGATTCAAATAAAATTTATCATTATTGTATTATTTGAATCCTCTTAGTTCCCCTTAATAATAACAAAATTAAAAAAAGAAAAAAAGACACCTGATAGTCTCTCAATATCACAGCAAAGTATACCGACTATATTTATCTATTATATTATATATAAAGAGAGAAGAAAAGGTGAATAGTGTTTTGGTGTCATCAAGCTTCAACAAAAATAATTGGACAAAAATGCCCCCAAAACAAAAAACTTCAAAGGTGTTCCAAAATAATGCATCAAATAAGGTAGGGGCATTTTCGTCATTTCAATAGTATTTTTTAATAATTAAATTATTTTGTGTTTTTTTTTTTAAATTAGTACCTCACAATAAGCTAATAATAATTTGATTCAATTTATCTATTTCTAAACACGTTCAAAACATCTTAAGAGACTTATAATGCTGGTAATAAAAAAAATCATTCACACGTGGATAATAATATGATTAAATTAGTTGTCAAATGATTTTTTTTTTTTTGTAACAAACGATATTATCTATACTAAAGGGGAGGGATGTGGGTTTAGCCTCACAATAAGCTAGCAATAATGTGATTCAATCAGTTATTTATTAAATATTATTTTTTCTATTTTAAACATGTTCAAAACATCTTAAGAGACGTGTAATGCCGGTTATAAAAAAAAGTCTTTCGTACGCGGATAATAATGTGATTAAATTAGTTGTTAAATTATTGTTTTTTTTTTTTAAACAAACAATATTATCTACACTAAGGTGGAGGAGGTGGGCTTGGCCTTACAATGGACTAGCAAT